AAAGGGATTCACTTTTTTGGGCCAAGCTGTAATTTTAGTGTGTTTTCTTTCTTTTCTCTTTCTTTTTTCCTTTTCTTGAGGTTCTTTGTTGCTCTTGGAAGATAAGTGTGTTTGTCTTCCTTTTGTAAATCTTCTATTGATGAATTAATGAAAGTGTTATTGATCAAAAAAAAGAGAGATTATGCTACTCACCATTCCCTTCTGACTGGCTAATCTCCGAGTTGACGGGGCCCGTGCCATTGATGAAGCAGCCGCAGCGGCAGCAACACGTATCCTACCAATAGAAAGGGGGTATGAACAATAGCATCTACTGTCCATAACCAACTCATATAATGCAAGTAAAAGAGGATAGTATTTGAACTTTCGAATTTATTGTACCTTTTATGTACATCAACATATTCATCTGTCTCATCTACAATCTCCTCCTGTGTAGTCATAAAATAATAACAAATTAGTTAATCTAGGAAATAAAAAGAAATAAAAGTTAAAAGTTACATTAGATGAAAGAGAAAACGAACTGATAGACCCAAGCAACCATTTTATAACAACCGTAAAATTAAAGTTGCCCATCAATTTCAAGAGTCTAATTGATGTGTCATGTTTTCTACAAATCATTGAAAAAGGATTAATTAACCAGATGATACAAATTGCTAAATGAAAAGACCATTTTTCAACTATTTTCTCTTTGAATGCATGATACTAAAAGCTTGCATCCAAGATTCAAACAAGAAGACTGATCGAGTTGGAGTCGATTAGGGGTTGGGCTTTTGTTTTGGACTTTAGCCGGGTATTGGGTATGGGTGATTGGGGACTGTTAAGGGCGTCGGTTTTTTGGGATATGAAGATCGAGGTTTTTGATCTATTTTGTTTCTTTCATGTGTTGGTTGCAAGGGTTTTGGTTTAATGGGGCTGGCCATGTGTGGGTAGGTTGGGCTGGATGGTTGTTGTTTAATCTTGTTGGGTGTTTTCTTGTTTTATTTCTTTCTCTTTGGGTGATAGCTTATCACCTTTCCTTGTATCTTCTTTTTGTTTTAATAAAATTTTTTATTTATCTTCAAAAAAAATACTAAAGAGGTCACATATCAATTGAAAATCAAGATGACACAGTATATAGGTACTGAGCCACATTAGGGTAATCAGAGTAAATGTGGATTACTTGTAGAAGCTCCTCAAATACATCCTCCAGAGTGATAATACCAATCACTTCTCCATCTTCAATATCCTCCGACATACGGGGTGTGCCATTCATCACTGCATCAGATTGTTGATGAGAGGTTTTGATTGGCCCAGGAACCTTCCCAATATCAACAGTTACACTTTGTGGTTTTTCATCCTGCTTAGGTAGCAATAGAGCAGTTAATTTGGAATCATCACTATAGGCTTTGTTTTCTTTGGGTTTTTCTCCATCTCCAATGGCAATGGGTGAAAAACTCTTGTTTTTCCCCTTGGCCTTCACAACAGCTGCCATATGACTGCTCCCCTTCTGAAATTCATTTAGAATATCATATAAAGGCATATCTGAAGGAACCCTGAAAACATTCCAAACATTAATATTTCAACTCTAAATATATGAGTTCCAAAATGGAAAAAAAAAAAAAAGAAAGTGGTTCAATGAGCACACCGTGGAATTCTCCGAATAGAAACAGCACTAACTGGAGTCTCTGTTTCTGCTCGCACTGTGAGTAGACTTTTCACCTAAATGAAGCAGGTCAAAAAATAGAAGAATGGCCAATTCCATACTCAGCTGAACTGATGCTGAAATATAATGAACCAGGACCAGAGTTAAGTCTTTGATTTCCACACTTACCAGTAGAAGCCCAATTATGTTTTTAGGATTCCCAGAATAGACAGGAACTCGGCTATGGCCCCGAGCAAGAATTTTGCCAATTGCTTCCCTGAATAATTGAAAAATTATGTGACTCATTTATCTCTGTTCCAGAAACAATAACATGTATTGACGATTTAGAAGAGAACCCATTTACCTCAGATGCTTTGAATTTGAACTTCTTTTTAATCCAAAATGTCTATTAACAGTGACTTGTGTTCTTTTTAACAAGAAAAAGGCCTATATTTTTTATTAAACACTCACAGAATTAATTTTTCTTCTTTTTTTTTTTGAGAAAAAGTGAGTTTCCTATTAAAATAAGTAAAGATAAAGGCTGCTGAGGGAGGGGTTTCTTCAACAGCTGAGTACATCAAAGCAGTAGTAAAACACTAGCAGGAAAGCCTTACAGTACAAAATCATTATCCCACAAAACACTACTCCAATGATTAGGGAACAGGCTAAGGCCTCATTCGCGTCTCGATAAATGACTTACCTGGGTAAATGCACTTACCCAGGCCAGTGTTTCTGGGGAAATACTTACCCGGATAAGAGCACTTACCAGTGTTCTTTTATTCCCCAGGTAAAGGTGTACAATGACCAATTTATCCAAAAAAGTGACCTTATTGAAGGGACAATATTGTCCCATCACATATTGGCAATTTTCAGCATGAAAAGTAATTTACCCAAGTCTGAGGAGAGTATTACCGATGTTTTAAAACGCAGAGGCATGACGCGAGACATTCCACTACCTAGAGGCGTGAGGCGTAGTTCAAAATGCAAGAGGCGTAAGCCTCCTTAAGAGGAGGGTGGTTAGGAGGAGGATGAAGAGGAAGGGGGGATCTCATTTTTTTCTTTATTTTTAATAAAAATCTTTTATATTAAGAAGAATAAAGATACATAACATTAATTGAAAACCACTTTCTTTCCCCTTATCTTTTCTTCCCTTCCCTTTCCTTTTCTCTTTTTTTCTTCTCTTTCTTTTTCTTTCCCTTCCCTTGCTTTTCCTTTCCTTTCCTTTCTTTTTTTTTTTTTGTCTTTTTATATCAGATGTGACCTCATGAAAAAAGCGCAAGACGCCTCTTGCACCTGAGGCGTACGCTTCAGAGGTGTCAGCGCCTCTGGCATACGCCTCAGGGCGTTTTGGGAGCGCCTCACCTGGAGGCACGCCTCCCACACCTGCTCATGAATCTTTCTTTTCTGCAGGACCCACTAATACCGGAAAACGAACATGGGTAAGTAATTTACCCAAGTCTGAGGAGAGTATTACTTCTCAAGTAAATGAGGCTGCTCAGGAATTGTTCTTTTTTGCAGGACCCACTAATACCGGAAAACGAACGTGGGTTTATTTCTTTTCCATGGGACCTACCAACTTACCCACCCCTACTTCCCGAAAAACAAATGAGGCCTAAAGTTGAAGCCCTTGAATAAATTGTTAACTGAAGCCCACTTGACTAACATCCTTTCCAACACCTGCTCAATTGGGAATGCCTTGTCTTCAAAAGTGCGGCTGTTCCTTTCTTTCCAGATACACTAACAAATAACAAAAGGTGCCAAGTGCTGCAAAATCTTCCCCCTTCTACTAAAGGCTTTCAATTACCAGGGAGCCATTAATAACTCTAAGGTAGGGGGAAGGACCCAATTTATAGCAAACAGCTTCAAGGCGTGAGACCACACACTGTAAGAAAAGCTGCACATTATGAAGAAATGCTGTTATGTTTTCCTCTGCCATACCACACAAGCAACACCAATTAACAAGGTATATCCCTTTCTTCTTTAGAAGACCAATAGTCTGAATGTTACCTTTCGGTGCAACCCACATGACAAACAAGAGCTTCGAATGGGTCCTAGTCTTCCAAATCCAAACCCAGGTATATTCCTTTCTTCAATTTCGGTTTCGGTTATTTCAGTTTCGGTTCGGTTTTCATCTTTTTATTTCAGTTTTTTAAATTTTGGTTTATTCGGTTCGGTTTTTTACCGAATGCTCACCCCTACCCAAGGAGGGGGTCAGAATCCAAAGGGTTCAAGAAAGTCAACATTGACTTGGTGGTGAAAATTCTAGACTTCTCCAAGGGCCACTCAGTGTTTTAAAAGCGCAAAAAAAAAAGAAGAAAGAAAAGCACAAGGAACATTTTACACCTGAGGCACAAGGCAAGGCGTGTGCCTTTTCGAAGCAAGGCACAAAATTGCAAAAAAAAAAAAAAAGCTAAAAATTTAAAAAAATTCCATAATGCAAAAAATAAAAATTATTAAACATAATATTAATTAAAAATATAAACTTAAGTTTTAAAATAAATGTTTTAAAAAAACCTTTTATCTCAAATTAAAATACATAAACATAACATGTAAAACATATTTAAAATGAAAATTCACAAATAAAATCAAGCATAACATATGAAACATATTCAAGCATGTAAAACTCTCAATCTCTTAATTTCCCACCCAATTGCATTACTTCAAATAGCTAATGTGATGTTAAGCATTATGCATTCCTGATTTTACAAGCCACATTTGTACCAAACCCCTTGAGGAAAGCTCAAACAAGTCCATATTAGGGTCTTAAATTCTTAATCCCTGTTAGAGTCGGTTGTACAAGGGTAGTACAGCCATTTTATGTTTAGTTATATATGTATTGCTCAGCTGATGTGGCTCTCACTTAAGTGAGGGCACAATGGTAATCCTTGTATATCTTAGAAGAGTATAAATAAAAGAAGGGCCGACTAGAGGGATTTGATTTTTCCTCTCTAGTTCGGCTGTGACCTTTTCTCCTTCTTCTCTTTCTTCTTCTCCTTCTCTCTCTCTTTTCCTTCTCTTTCTTCTGATCTGAACATATACGAACATCTAATCAGAGTTTTATCATGGTATCAGAGCCATGATAATCAGTTCAGATCAGTTGTCTCCTTTTCTCTCTGTTCTACGCATTCCTCTCTAGGTTTTTGCAGAATTCTCATTGATATTTAGAGATTTTTCCAGAAAGAAAGAAAAATGACTGGTCATTTTCTCCTTTTGGGGGTTTCCATGCCTCCAATGAATGCAATCGTTGTGGTTTTGTGTGGTTGGTAGAAAACCCTCTACTCGCAATTCGAAGAGGGCTGGTTTTGTGATGGTGACAATGCAGACTT